GAGAGCAGGGGCCCGAGCTGAGCTGGGGTAGAGCTGCAGCAACCGGAGCCAGAGGGGCCAGAGAAGCAGCCCAGGAGCTGAAGGCAGAGCAGCAGCTGCAGCCGTGCTGAGGCCGAGTGGAGCCGGAGCTGAGGCAGGTGGGGCTGGGCAGGTGGGGCTGGAGCTGGGGCTGGAGCAGTCTGGAGCCAGGTGTGCTGAGCAGCTGGGGAGAGCGCGGGGGACCCTGGGCAGCAGGACCAGTGCAGGGAGACAGCCCCAGCTAAGGGGCTCTACAGGCCAGACTTGCAGGGGGGATCTTAACCACAACGGGGCAGGGGGCCATGCTGGGAAGAAGGGTTCTGCCACCGAGAGCCTGAGGGCGTGGCCACCACCAGAGCAAGTGTCCGACCCGCGGCACAGCCAGGGGCTGGGACGTGTGGGCAGCAGACTGTGAACTGCCCGGACATTCCAGAGACGCTGGTTGTGACGTCCCCGGGCCACAGAGCGGGGTGACGGGTTTTCCTTGCACCTTTCCCAGTTGATCCTTATTTTTTTAAACTGGTTGCTGTTTAATAACTTGTATTTGTTTTGACCTGTATGTGATGATCAGGGAAACATCCAGAGCAGAGAGAGCACCCCGGAGTGGGGACACCCGACCCCTGCCCTAAGTGACCACAACAAGGTTGGGGGTCGAGCCCCCCAGGAATCCTGGGCCCAGCCTTGTTGGGGTTACAAGGACTCTGCCCCACAGGAGAGCAGCGAAGGGGGACCTTGAGGGCAGGGAGGCCTCTGGGTAAAGGGAGTGGGAGCGAGGACTCAGATCCTTTCGCTAGCCCACTTCACCGGGGTAGTGCCGAAGCCAGGAATGTTCCCTACAATCAGAGGTGAAAGTAAGCCGGTACGGTATGGCACAGCGTACCAGCAAGAGCCAGTTCGCCGTGCCGGACTGCACCAGCTTCTGCGGCAGGGATTTAAAGGGCCCCAAGCCCTTTAAATCCCCCCTGTAGCTCAAAGGCCCGGAGCTCCGCGGCAGCTGGAGCCCCGGGCTTTTTAATTCACCCCTGAGCCCCGGGGGCTCCCAGCCACCTCTGCAGCTGGGAGCCCCAGGGTGATTTAAAGTCCCTGGGGCTCCCAACCACAGCCGGTGCCCCAGGGCCTTTAAATCTTGAGAGGTCCCGCCTCTTCCATATGAGGCCACGCCCCCCTCAGGACTCCGGCAGTACCAGTAAGTTACTTTCACCCCTGCCTACAATAGCAGGATCATCCCCTGCTTACATAGGCTCAGCACACACACACCACAGTCTTCAAGCACCCAGCAAACAAGCTGTCAGACAAACTCACCGCAAAGAGTGCATGGTCTCGCCTCCCCTTGGAGAAATCCCTCGGTAATGCTCCTGCTACCTTTGCCAGGTGTTTGTTCTCTCCTCTTGTAAATACAGAGGGCAGCCCCCAGGATCACAGCTATTCCCACAGCTCCTGCGACATAGACCCCAATGTGGCTGCGATCAGAGCTCTCAGCCTCTGAAGCTGCAATAGGAGAAATGAAAGGGATTTTTTCCAGAATTCAGGTTACAAATGGAAGGTAGATGGAATCATTGACCATGGTGGGAGGCTCTGGAAGAAACCTGCTTGAAATAATTCCCCCACTGCTGGTGAGTTCCCACCAGAGTCCCTGTCTGCAGGGTGGCTGTATCCTTTTCAAATGATGGGGCTGTATTTTAGACTAAAGTAGAGGCTGGCAGGTGGATGGAACCTTAGGAGATAAAATGGCAGCTGAGATGACAACAAACAGATATGGCAAAGATCTGTTAGGTCCGATCTCTTCCCAGCCTCCCCATCCCCTGGCCAGCCAGGATCGTTCCCTCCAGTTCCCTCTGTAGACTTGCCCCGCCCCATCACATGGAACTTGCCTCTTCTTAGCTCAACTCCCCTCCACTGTCCTTCTGTCTGTCTATCACAGGCCTCCTCTCTGCTCCCTCCCCACTGTGGGGGCAGCAGCCTCCTCTCTGCCACCCAGCCCCGTCAGAGCAGCTGACTTGTTATAACTCAGCCTCTGAGAAAACTATCTCCAGACAAATGATACCAGTGATAAGACCTCATCTCTACCTAAATCATTCCCTCAGCGTGGGGCAAACTTCAGTTCTTCCGTGTGGACCATTTCAATTTGTAACCTTCAGGTGCTCAGTTACATTGACTCACCCATATTGCACATGGGTAATATTTTCAGTTACTACTTCAGTTTGATTGAGGGGCCCTTACTAGGAACGGGCCTGGGTTAAGGGTAGTGGAAGAACCTGAACGTTTGCCTTCTCCTGTTCTTGGTGGCATGTTTGTTTCTCTTATGTCTAACCCTGATGTTGCATTAACATAACTTTCATATTTAATTGCGAGTCAGTCACCTGGAAGCTTGTGACAGACGCTGGTGTTCTGGCGTAAGAGTTTGTGGAGAACAGAACAGCAAACGGAGCGCTCGCCATGGACACTTGTTGTCAGGTTTCTCTGCACAATAAAGACTCCCTCCCTGGTTCTCAGGAATTCCGTTCGCTCCGACTGCGTCAGCCGCTTTCCATTCCCATCGTGCCACGTCACTTCGGGCTCAGGATAACCGCCTCTGGCCTCGCACTGCCAGCGAACCTCATTGCCATCCCGGTAAAGAACGCTGAGCTGTGGGGTTTCATACGGCACTGAAAAGCAAGAGAACCACCCTGAGGCAGAGCCTTGTGAATCCTCATGTGATGAGCAAACAGTGGGTTACCGGACAGACAGAACTGCGCAGGAAAGACTCCCTCACCACTTACTTTTTGTTTTATTTTAGTTCCGAACATACTTCCTGCTGCCATATCCCATTACAGCACGTGTTGACATGGGAATTGTCTGTAATGTTTTTTTATTCCTATGCGTGTCTTGGTTTCTCTCTGTGCTTTGCACGGCTACCCAGGGGGTGCAGGCGCTGCTCCTGGAGCAGAGCCAGGGGGATGTGATGTGCATGTGTCACAGAACTATAGGGGTCCTTAACAAGCAGGCTGACACCCACCCATGTCACTGAAGGGCCCACAAAGACAATGGGAGCCCCAGGGACTGAACAGTTGACACCTGCCCGGGGAAATTCCAAGAGGCGGAGCGTGTGAACTCAGCCGGGGCCTGTCGGAGGGCAATGGACCGAGAGGTGTCAGGCCGGGGATACGAGCTGGCTTTTGGAGAGACACCGGGCTCTCACCCCGGGCTGGCACAGAGACAGGGGAGAGAGCTAACAAAAGGATCCCATGGCAGCTTGGCTGGCTGATGGCACTGGCTTGGCCAGAACGGTCTGTGCTTTAACCCTTATTTCTCTGTGCAAACCTACAGCCTGCCTGTGCTCTGTGCCAGGTAGCCACTAAACTCTGCTCTGTCCTGGCAGCGCTGGGTGGGTGTCGCTACCAGCACTGGGCGAGGTGCGTCCATCCCTGCGGAGTGCACACCTCCTCACCTGGGCTCATTGAACAGAGTTAACGGACGGTGTGAAGCAGGGATGCTGGAGCCCAGAGATTCAGTCTGAGGAGGTGGAGAGGCTGCGTGGCCGACCCTAGAGGAGGAGCTTGGCCCCTTAGGGGTCTGGCACACAGAAGGGGCTCCTCCTACAGACGGGGTGTAGCACCGATCCTGTGGCTCCATGGCATTGCACATGGACGCTACAGCAGAGCCCTCCTGGCCGCTCAGACTGGTCCCAGACAGGACAAATCCGCAGCAGCCTCCCTTCCCGTTCCAGAGACTCCCCATCCGAGAGGCAGCCAGACTAAATCTCTCTGGGGACGTTACCATATTATCACAGTTTCAGTGTCTGGTGATAAACACGTTTACCTGATACTTGGAGAATGACGTCGCCCATGAGTACATAGTGAGTGTCAACGACGATGCACCGGTACTCCCCGCTGTCCGCTGGCTGCACATTGGTGAGGCCCAGGGAAACCCGCCCCTGGCTGAGCGTTCTCAGAGAGAAATGGGTCCGACCCTGGAACTCCCCAGCCTGGTCCTGCAGCCTGTCGGCCCCAGCGTAGTAGCTGTGCACCACAGAGCCCTCCCCATCTCGGAAGACGTGCCAGTGGATCCGGAGGTTCTGCATCTGCAGCTCTGGCAGTAGCTTGACTTTGCAGTTGAGGGTGACATTCTCTCCAGCTCGTGAGTGAACCGTTGTTTTTTCACCAGTCAGAGAAGGAATGTCTGAGAGAAGGAAGGAGCGGATGTTATTACACTGCCTGGAGACGTGGGGCTGCTTTGCGGACCCCCTTAGCAGTTCCCCATTATACTTCACGATCGCTTGGGATTAGAGCTGGATGAAAAGTTTCTCACTAAAGAGTTTTCCATCAGAAAATGCTAATGCAAACCTAAGTGTTCTGCAGCAATGTGCCAATTCCATCCAAACGACGCAGGCCGACAAGCCTGTCCACCAGCTCCCTGGGAGCCTGGCTGGCTTCGCAGCTGGCCAGCAAACGGGGCTGCCCAGGGGAGGAGCACTACTTGGGTTTCTTTTCTATTTCATTGTTTGATATTTGCATTACAGCAGCGCTGAGAATCCCAGATCAGGCTCAGGGCCCGGCTCTGTGGGACACATAGTCCAGGCCCTCAAGCGTTATAACTTACATTGGCCTGCGGTGACACATCCCAGGAGCACTGGAAACCAAAGCAGCCGCATCGTCTCTGCAGGAGGGGAGCATGCGCAGGAGCTAAAACGATATTCAGAAAGTAGAGAGTCTGTTCCTAGGAATGTTAGCGCTCAAGGTAACAAGGACCAGTACACTCGTCCTCCAGTCAATGACACCGACTCAACTCCCTGCCCATTACAACAGCTACCTGCGGAAGGACAGGGCCTTCTCGCCCTCAGCTAGTCCTCGGCCCACTGCTCAGCTTGAGAACTGGTAAAAGGGGATGTGGAAAACCCTCACAGCTGGTTTCTAGGCATAAACCCCCTGAAAGTATCCTGCTCGGGGTGTGAAACACTGTTTGCTCACCAGTCCTGTCAATACACCTAGGGACACATTCTTCCAGAGACTTAGAATCTCTCGCTTACTCACCTGCACTGAAGCCCGGCCTACACACTGAAACATGTAGCAGCTAAACTCAGTTCTAATGGACAGGAATCCGGGCAGGAACCGCAGTTACTGGTCCCTGTTTTATCACCATTCAGCCCCATGTACAAACTTTTAGAATCAGAGTTGGCTGCAGCAGGGTGCTTGTCAAATTTGATACAAGCCACTGTTGCTCGAGATTTAAGTGATTGGAGTTTCTAACCTACCAGTAATCACAACAAAGCTGATGAGAAACCAGAACTGTGCATTTTATTTTACTTTAAATTTTGGACACATTTTGATTTAGGTTTCAGTGGTAGCCGTGTTAGTCTGTATCAGAAAATAAAAAATAACAGGAGCCCTTGTGGTACCTTAGAGACTAACAAATGTATTTGGGCATAAGCTTTCGTTGGCTACAGCCCACTTCTTCGGATGTATGAAGTAAAAAATACAGGAGCAGGTATAAATACCTGAAAGGATGCGGATGCTTTACCGAGTGTGAGGTCAGTCTAACAAGATAAATCAATTAACAGCAGGTTACCAAGGGAGAAAAAATAACTTTTGAAGTAATAAGAGAGTGGCCCATTTGTGATGAAGTGGGACTGTTCTTAATGTTTTCTCTGAATACTGTGTGGGTGCCTCAGTTTCCCCTATGCATTTCTTAGGTATCTAGGTGGGGGGGGATCAGGGGGTGTGATTGTTGCAGAGCCCAAGTGGGCCCCTGTGATCCTGTCTGCACAGAGAAGGGCCGACACCCTGTCTCCTGATGGCCTGGGCCCCTCCCCGGCAAAGGTGCCAGCTGAAGGTGTTGGAGAACAAAGAGATCAGGTGACCTCCTGGCCCGGGAAAGGGAAAAAGCCCAGAGGAGGGGCTGGAGAGTTTCAGTTTGGAGCGGGCTGGGGACGGGAAGTGAGGGCAGATGTGGATGTCTGGCTCGCTGGGCCCCAGAATGGACCCGGCTGAGGGGTCCTGTTCTCTGTACCTACAAGCTCTGTTTTAGACCGTGCTCCTGTCATCTAATAAACCTCTGTGTTACTGGCTGGCTGATAGTCATGGTAAATCGCACAAAGTGGGGGGAGGTGCAGGGCCCCGACTCCCCCACACTCCATACAGACAGTTGACAAGAAGGTGTGAGAAATTAGTATTGGGGAAATTAAGTTTAGGTTTTGTAATGACCCAACCACTCCCAGACTTTATTCAGGCCTAATCTGATGGTATCTAGGTTTCAAATTAATTCCAGTTCTGCAGCTTCACGTTGGAATCTGTTTTTGAAGGGGTTTTTTTGTTGAAGAATTGCCACTTTCAGGTCTGTTATTGAGTGACGAGAGATTGAAGTGTTCTCCTTAAAGGTCTCTGTGTGACTTTCTCAGCCCAGCACGGGCAGGAGCCAGGAGGGCCCTGCAGGGACCCTGTTACAGTGTGCCACAGGCAGAGAATAGGAGTGTGACAATGCAGGAACACTGCCTGAGTCTGCAGAGAGCCTGAACCAATTGCTCTGAGAAGGGTGAGCTGCCCTGGGCGTGATGAACACAGCAACACTGCCTGAGTCAGCAGAGCACCTGGGCCATTGACTCAGAGCTGTTTAACCGTGTACACCAGAGTAGAAGCTGCCCAGAACCATTCACGGTAACAGAGCTGGAACAGACACTGGGTAGCATCAAATGTGGAACAGCTGCAGGCTATGACAACATATCTCCAGAATTCCTGAAAAACCTTGGCCCCCGTGCTCGGCTTTGGCTTGTGAAATTCTTCACCAGGGTCATCAGTGAAGGGAGGCTACCGAAGAGACGGCGCACTGCAGAAGTCATTGGCCTCCTAAAGCCTGGAAAGGACCCAAGTCAAGCATCAAGCTACACTGCTACCCCGATATAACACAAATTCGAATATAACGCAGTAAAGCAGCGCTCCGGGGCTGCACACTCCAGCAGATCAAAGCAAGTTCGATATAACGCAGTTTCACCTATAACGCAGTAAGATTTTTTGGCTCCCGAGGACAGCGTTATATCGGGGTTGAGATGTATCGTCCCATATCATTACTGACGGTGCGCTTCAAGGCACTGGAGTGCCTGGTCCTACAACACACATTACCCGACGTGGAGAGAATTATGAGCCCCGACCAAGCTGGTTTTCGCCGAGGCCATAACACATGTGATCAAGTACTCGCGCTGACCTCATTTGTTGAAAATGGCTTCCAGAGACACTTCAAAACAGGCGCTGTTTTCATCGACCTAACAGCAGCATACGATATGATATGGCACACTGGCCTGCTCGTAAAGGTATCACGTCTCCTGCTACCTTGGGTCACAGGTGTTGTTGAACTGTTCCTCCGCGATAGGCCATTCAGAGTCCATATGGGGGAGAAGACGAGTGCTTGAAGATGACAGAGCCATGGGTTACCCCAGGGCTCTGTGCTTTCTCCAACCCTGCTCAACCTTTACATCAATGAGATGCCAACAACGGAGTCACAAAAGTTCAGTTACGCAGACGACATCTGTTGCGGTATCCAGGCCCGGACATTCCACAAGCTCGATGCCACCTTAAACCGGGACATGGTAAAGTGAGCTGGCTACTGAAAGACTTGGCGCCTCCAGCCAAGAGTCATAAAACAGTCTCCAGTTTGTTCCATCTTCACCACGCCAGCGCAACCTGAGAACTGAATGTTTATCTGAATGGTCAGAAGGTGAAGCATGAAGTGGAACCGGTCTGTCTACGTGTGACCTTAGACCGCACACTGAGTTACCATGCCCACCTGAAGAAGGCAGCCGCTAAAGTTAAGACAGCCACAACAATCTTCTCAGCAAACTGGCAGGTTCGTTTGGGGTGCTCGTGCTCCACCTCTGCGGATGTCAGCTCTTGCCACCTCGTATTCGGTGGTGGAGCACTGCGCACCAGTCTGGAGTCGATTGTCACACACCCATTTGGTGGATATGCAGTTACATGCCGCCATGCATATCATCTCCGGCACCCTGTGTATGACTCCACTCCCATGGCTCCCGTTCTGAGCAATATCGCTCCTCATATCAGACGAGAGGTTGCCACTGGCAAGTTCCTGGAGAAAGTACTCGCCAACTCAAGCCTGCCGCTGCACAATGACCTTTTTAAACCACCAGCTGCATGTTTGCCGTCACATCGCCGATTATGGTCTCATTCGCCACACCAGGATATTAGGGCGGAAACACTCTGGCGAGATTTCAGAGTAGCAGCCGTGTTAGTCTGTATCCGCAAAAAGAAGAACAGGAGGACTTGTGGCACCTTAGAGACTAACAAATTTATTAGAGCATAAGCTTTCGTGGACTACAGCCCACTTCTTCGGATGCATATAGGATGGAACATATATTGAGGAGATATATATACACACATACAGAGAGCATAAACAGGTGGGAGACGTGGAGGTAACTCCGAGAGGTGGGAAGAGAGATGCCACCTCATTATCA